CACTTCACCATCACTCCCACCAACCCCTGCACCTTCACACCAACTGCTTCACAAATTTACTGCTCTTGACCGGAAAACATCTGAGCTTCCAACCACTGGACTAGCAGCTCTTGTCCCCTGTCACCTTAATGTTCTCCTACGAGTATCAAGTACTATGTGTTTAGCACCGAACAAGTACTTAACATTGACTATAGTGATGGGCCGTCAGGAAGAAGCAGCAGCCAGTTTTGAGCTGAGCACAGAGAGATGAGGTGAAGGCATCCTGAAAGCGTGGTTATTCCCACAGCAGGGGTCAGAGTGATAAGAGCCTAGTGGCTCAAAAGCACAGGGTGTGGTCCACAGAAAAGGGGAAACCAGCCTAGCTTAAGGGGAAAGTACCTTTGAGGAAAAGAGGGAAGTAAGGCAGCAAAAACCTCATGAGAAGACTAAGTTGACGTCCAAAAACAGAAAGGCAGGTGGGGCTGGTCCCAAACCAAATACAGTTCACGGCTCACCTCTGTTCTTTCAACCATGAAATTAAGGACACAGCGATCGCACATTAATAAAATGTGGATGCTTAGCTCTATGAGCAGAGTAATATCACTTCTAAGTGTGCAAAGCTGAAGTAGTGTAGGGTCGCATGAAACAACGCACTGAAACACCCTGGCCGCCCAAAGGGCAGTGTGCCGACAACGGCATGGTGATTAGGAACCTGAGCAGAGAAGTCAGACTTGGGCTCAAAGTCTGGTCGTAGGACTGGCAGTGACAGCCTAGAGAAATGGCTGACCTCTTCTCAGCCTCGGTTTCCTCATCTGTAAAGACACTGACAGTCTTTACTCTGGACGTTTGCTGTGAGAATTAAATGAGAGTCCACATAAAATGCTCAGACAGCAGCTGACTTAGAGAGGGCACTCAATATGCATTAGCTGTTATTATTAATATTACTATTATTATATAGGGATTTAACTTCATAGATACAAAATACTGTATCTAAATAGTGGAATACTGTGCAACCTTTAAATGTAAGTGATCTTTTACTTATATAAGAAAGTGGCAACAATACACTGACAAGTGGGAGAGGGGGAAGCATGCTACAAGCAATGTTTACTAAGACTTCCTGTGCACACCCTGACCGGTGTGGCTCAGCTGGTTGGGTGTTGTCCGGCCGGAAGGTCTCGGTTTGATTCCCAGTTGAATGGAGCACATGCTTAAGTTGTGGGTTTGGTCCCTGGTCGGGGCGCATACTAGAGGCAACAGATCAATGTTTCTCTCCCTCTCTTTCTCCCTCCCTTCCCCTCACTCTAAAAATAAATAAATAAAAATTTTGAAACAAGCTCTCGGGTGCATGAGTTGGGAGTGAAAACAAGCATGTGTAAATGCAAAAACTGAAAAAACACACTCTTTCACCTCTACGTTTTTTTCTGTTTCCTAAGAGGAGGGAAAACGTTACTTAAAGATAAAATACAAATATAACACTACTTTCACTTTGGGCAAGCCTTTCCATTTTCCAAAGCTTTGGCATATGATCTCATTTTTACACTAATGTAACGTTTAATGGCCACTCTTAAACTGCTCTTCTGCCAAATGCCTGTAAGTCAAAACCCTGAACTCCATCCACCTACCCCCCAAAGGACAATCCTTCCTCTAAGAGACCCTCTTTCACTAACACTGTTGCTAACAACCAAGCAGCTGGCTTTCCCCAGGCTGATGGAGCAGAGACACATAAATCCATTTTTATAGTCAGTGCTTTAACGAGTCACTTCAAGAAGTGATGTTTAAGTTAATGATACAATGTGGTAAAGCAGTATAAACCATTAGCTAAATCAGCGGTCTGAGCCACACATCCCGGGGCCTGGCTCACCCTGTTTGGCTGTCTGATGCTAAGTATCCAGTATAACGGTTCTTCCCAGTGCATGCCCCGCATTGAGCTGCCATGGTAAGCTGCTTTCCCACCAGCCACTCTCTCCCTCTTTCTTGGTAACAGACCTGATTATCAGCTGCACCCACTGCACCCAGAACAAAATCCCCATCTCCCAGGCCTCTCCTATACCAGCCATGGTACCGATGTGATCGATTACATTAGGACCAATCAATGTCGGCAGCTGTGTTGTGCTGAACTTCTGGGAGGTTAGTGGGAGAGACTTGGCTACAGGAGGACCTCTGAGGTCTGCTCGCCTCCTCCTCCAGGCCTGCGACTTAGACCAAAGAATAGCATCTGGGACTGAAAGGTGACCCCCGAGGATACGAGTGCAAGAGTGGGATGATGGAGTGCAAAATAGGGACCTGGGTCCCTGATGACACTGCAGAAATGCCCTTTGGCAAAGGGCATTTGAAACTTCTTGTCAAAGACAAATGAACATGTACCTTGCTTTCGCCAATGTTATTTTCTTTTTTTTTAGGTTATGTACAGTCAAACCTAAACACTGCAGATTATACGTCAACATAGGATGCCATATGCTACACAGATTCCACTGCCACTAAACAACACATGACTCTTTTTAAGTAGGTGACCAGGATGACAAAACATTTTAATAAATCGCTTTTTTACTGAACCTTTCGTAACAGCTAGATGTTTATCACCAACTACTCTTTTTTTCCAACAAAGACATCCCCCATATATACATAATCTTTTCTCTAGAGGTTCAAAGTCAGCTAATACATGTAGTTCACAGAATTCTGCCCTCACATGACATCGACCAAAAAAATCCAACTCTCTGGAGCCCCTAATAAAACCGAGAGAGAGACAGCACAGTATCCCCAGGTCTGCAAAGCACAAGGAAGCTATGTGTCTCCAAATGGAGACAACAAAGAAGCAAAGCATTTTTGAAATGACTTCCAAGTGATGGACACACAGCAACGAAATAAGCACAACGGTGCCATCAAGGGCACACTGGCTGTGCTGTATACAATCCCAGGCGAACAGCCACCCACAGACAACTACCAAGGAGGCCCCTGCCCACAGTGTGAGATTCAGAGCCGGCATCAACAGCAGCATTGGCCATGGGGCGCACCGACCAGGGGCTCCAACCCGCGCTGCTGGAGACCATTATCTTGATGAGGTCCTTTAAAGTACTGCTCTACCTGTAAGTCCAACACTCGCCACAAGGTGCACCTGAAGGCTCCCGCCCGCACCGGCCATCCTAAAACTCATGTAAGGATCAGAAAGGATCAGGGCTTTGTTTCCTAGATGACAAAATGACATTCAGATCTCTTGCCATAGCCTGCTGACAGCAGAACCTTGACAAGTTAGCTTTTCCTTCAGAAGAGCTTAGGCTTTCAAACACAAATCTCATAAAAGGGAAAACCTTGTATTTACAACTTGAAATTACACTTAAATTTACAACTTCATGGAGAAAATTACTAAATTTCCGCTATGACAATTCCATCATCCTAGCCCAAGTCTCTAATGGGCTCAATATATAAGGTTAAAGCACTTGACTCAGTTCTCCCTGCATGATAAGGATAGAAGACAAAAGAAAATAAAGACAATTCAGCTTCTATATCATTTTCATAAAAATACATCTTATTATTACCCCATCATCCAAAGCAATCTCTAGGTAGAAATTACTTTGAAAAGCGGTCACCAAAGTTTCAACTTACCTAGTACATTTAAAGAGCAGAATTTTGGAGGCTCATATGAGAACAATCGTAGGGTAAAGAGAATAATGATGGAAGGAAAAGAGAAACCAGGTTTTATTTTAAGGAACTTAAATCCTTCACATGCATTATATCTAAAATACATACCTAACGTTCCATACTCTTGCAAGAATGAATTAAAGGGGAAGAGGGTGCAGGTGGAAGAGATAAGGGTAATAAAAGCTACTTAAACTAAATTGGAAAGTACATTTGTATACATAAAAACCATATATGCTCTAAAAATGTCTGGAAGGAATGCCAAATGTAAGTTATACTCCCTGAAGGAAAACCTTATAGGCTATTTTTCTTTCCTTTCCGTTCATCTACACTTTATAATTTTTGTACAACAAAAACACTTTCTACTTATATAATTTTAAATGCATTTTCTTAAAACAGATTTAGCATATTAGCATCAACAGAAAAGTAGAACTTCAGGCCAGAATAACCCAGAATAAAACGAAGCCTGAAAGATTTCTGGGCTCATAGCTAAAGGGGTACAAAGTGAAGCTCCTGGGCCCACGCAACCCTCACAGTCCTAACACCCCCCTCCCCAGACAGGGTGCCCACAGTGATCTTAAGTTTATACCATTTACCACACAGTGTAGTGAAGAGAAAACACAAATGACCACAGGAAAGAAGACTATTTCCAGTACCTGCTGATTCAGCCACGGAAAGACACGGAAGTATCTACCAACTCACCACTTAATTATGTCTAACACTCGCTTTACAACCCAGTTTATGGATTATACATGTTTAATAAACAGTTCCTTCTCACGTGCCCTGCTATTAAACTCTAGGTAATTATGACAATTAATTAATACTACCCCTAGGCTATCATAGCCCAGGTCTGTAATACTACCAGCCAGGTCATGCTCTCCAAGTTGACACCTGCCACCCGAATCAGCCTCGCAGCTTAAACTACACGCCTCCTCTTTCTTAGTGCCCCTTCTCTGGTGGGCACCTCAGGTTGGGTGTTTGGACAGAGATGCAAACAGGCGGCACAGGTGTGCTTTGCCTGATGTTCCATGAAAGAGAAAAACCCTTTTTGTGATTACAGGCACAGTTCCCTGAAGGGAAAAACAAATCTATGCTGTTGTGCAGTGTTTTTGCACGACACATCAGAAGTACACACTGCCAAACCTACCTGCTAATGTGAGCTCAGAATTCCTCCGGCCCCTCAGGTGTCTCATTCTGCTCTTCCTAAACCAATTTTCCCGGCACTCATTCTGGCCTTACCTCTCAGCTCAAGGATAGAATGGTTTTAAGCAAGGAGTTTCACTGTCCACTAAGATTCCTTTAGGAATCCACTCCAACTGAAGCCAGGGCCTGAGTCTGAATGTGCCCTTAAGCCCTCCAGCCCCCCGGCCCCCTCCCTTCATACTCACTGTTGCTGGACTTAAGGTCTCGGTGGATGATGGGGACAATCGCCTCATCATGTAAGTAGTTCATGCCTCTGGCAATCTGCACAGCCCAGTTCACCAGGATGTCTGGGGGGATCCTCTTCCCAGATAACACTCTATTCAAAGGTCCTCCACGAGCAAACTCCATGACCAAGCAGAGGTTGGGTTCCTTCAGACACACCCCCCTAAGAGCAATGATGTTGGGGTGCTTCAGCATGGCGAAGAGCTTGGCCTCCTGGCGAACGTTCTCTATGGTCTGGCTGATGTCCTCATCAGGATCGTGGCGAGCTGCTTTCACGGCAACCTCATCCCCTATCCAGAAAGCGCGATAGACCTTCCCAAAGCCCCCGATGCCAATAATCTCTTCCAGGGTTAGCTCCGCAAAATCAATCTCTAACACTGAGAAAGAGAAGGAAGAAAAAAAATCAAATCAAAAATATTCTGAAAATACCATCTAATCACCCATTTGCCGGGATGAGCAAACATAGCAAGTGGTCTGTTTATTTGGTTTTTGTCTTCCTACTACAAGGTAAACTCCATTAGGGCAGGAAGTGTGATAAACTTATTTTCTGTGGCAAAATCTTCAGTAACTAGCACATAAATCTTGGGCCAGATATGGTGCTGCTATGTGAGCAAAGTGGAATGATATGTTTTTATCATGAAAGCCCTGTTTTCTATCTTCTTAATCTCACTCTCTTTACCCGACTTCCTCACGCTCATCTCTTAGGTCTCAGCTTCGACATCAATTTCCTAGAGGAACTTTTCCTAACCCCCAACTAAATGAGATCAGGCCCCCATCAAACACTTTGATAGCAGTCTCTAGTTGGCAACACTCAATGCAGTTACAATTACTTGTTCAATGCCTGCTGTGCCACTAGACTGCGAGATCCGCAAGGGAGGGTTCTGTCTGCCTTATTCACCACTGTACTCATCACACTGAATATTCAGCAGGTGAAATAAAATGGATGTTGGGGGTGGGGTTGCATACCTCAGTAGGAAATAAACCAAACTTAGATCGGAAAGAAAAAATTAAATTGGACCTCCTAAAACATACAGAGAATAGTATGTACTTTGGCAACACACACACACATACACACAAAATAAAGCAAACAAAAAACTTTTCTAGAAAACTAAGAAAACAAAAATAAGTTTCTGAACTTTAGGCAAGACCAAAAGAGGAACTGCCCACTGCTTCCTTCCACAGACAGCCTCGTGATGATTCCATCCTCCACTCAGAAGCCAGTGGTGCTCCAAACTACGTTCTTGCTTAATTATAGTGTTTCTGTCCTATCGAGGGTTGACATTCACTTGTATTTTGTAATGCAAGTGGCAGCCTGTACAAAGAAAACTCTTAAGAAAAGTTAGTTGAACTGTCTTCAGGTATATAAAAAGTATAGCCCATCTTGACTCCAAAAGGTCTAAGTGTTGAAGCTTATCAACCCATCCAGTCCTTTTCCTGAAGAATCTGTGGTGCAGCAGGTCCTGCAGACTAGCAATCAGCATCCATTCTAAAATGCTTCTGGCATGCCTTTCAGGACTACAAATGCCAGAAAGCCGGAAACTACATTTCCCAGGCTTCCTGACAGCTGGAGTTCTGGATGCAGATTAGGTTCTGCCAATTAGATGCAGAAGATTATAAGGCAGACCTGAGATGGAGACCATCTTCTTGCTCCTTTTCCTAGCAAGCATGGCTGTGGGAAAGTGGGGTCTTTCTGCAACGGCACACCAGCGTCCGGTCATTAGCTCTGTGGACGTGAAGAGGCACGCTGCAAGGCCAAGCGGTTGCCTAACTTGGACTGCAACAACAACTGAATGTTCAACAGCTTCAATGGCAACTCCCGATTCTGCACCTTCCCAATTAGAGAGAGAAGCAGCAGCTTGCCTGGTGGTCCAGGTCTGCAATGTTCTGGGAGTTTTACCCACCTGACCATCCCTTCTCCCTACCCTTCCAATAATTTTGTAAACTCCTAATTTCCTGAGCTCCAGCACTTTCTGCTAAAAGAGCTTGATTGTTTCTAGGTCCTAAAATGAAATCTGACATTACTAATATCCACCTTATTGCAACCACATGAAGGAGGAAAAAATATGCCTATGCTAAGGAGAGATTAGAACCCTCTTGAAGAAATATACATTACATTAGTAGTCTCTTAGATCATGGAGGGAAGGAACATTCATTTTTTCTAAAAACTTCTATACATCATTTCTTTAACTGAATATCTGAATTCTTCTTAAGGGAGTGAACTGTGGCATTTTCTCTGGTACCCTGCCTTCTTCCCTTGGTCTGAAGCATAGCTGTGAACACATAGGAGGTATTTATATTAAATATTTATTTACATGTCTGAGGGTTTAAAAGATGGGATTCTGAACCAGGGTGCTGAAAGGACAGCTCCTCTGGTGGCATTTGCAGAAGATGGAAAACCTTGGTGGGGAAGGCAAAGCAATAGTCTTGCCCTGGGTAGAACATTAATGCTCAGGTTTTTGCTATTTAGTTAAGAAGATATTATGACCAGACTTCAAGAAAAGTGTGGAACACAGCTTACAAGCAGATCGAAGACAGAACAGAGGGAAATGTGGGCACAGGAGGGCAGCGCTCTCTGGAGTAAGAACTAGACCTTCAGTTGCACCTGACAGGATGCGGGGCTCTCCTTCCCTTCCCTGCTCCAGTCAAGACCTGGTTTTAAGTAAGAATCAGGTCAAGTTGCACTCATCAGATTTCTCAGTTTCTATGGAAGGACATTTCCAGGAATATCAGGAACAAAACCTTATTTCTTTCATTTTCAGAGTCAAGATGTTATTCCCTCGCAATAGTATCCTTGGAAATGTATAGGCATATTCTGGTAGGTTTTAGCGAGGAAGTGGTACATATCTTACTCATTTAAAAATCTGAAGTACATCAGAAAATGTACCCTTATATTTCTAGTAGGTACAAGAAAAAAAGTAAATTGTAATAACCTTAAAACCTGCCCTACTTGAAAACAGATACAACTCTCCTATAGAAGAAACTTTAAAAAATATGCATATATCTCCCAAGATGATAAATTTGGAATTACATTTTTCATCTTTTTCTAAAATAAGGAAGATGAAGGAGCTCATGGGCTATTTTTTTAAAAAGACTTTATTTTTAGAGAGAGAGAAAGGGAAGGAGGAGAGAAACAGCAATGTGTGAGAGAAACATCCATCGGTTGCCTCTTGCTCACCCCCAATCAGGGTCCTGGCCCACAACCCAGGCGTGTGTCCTGACAGGGAATCAAACCAGCAACTTTCTGGTTTGCAGGATGATGCCCAACCATTGAGCCACACAAACCAGGGCACCTCGTGGGCTACTTTTATTTGTCAGCTTCATGGAGAGCTATACTCTAATATCTACTTTGAAGGGGATAAAAGCGTGATATAAATGTCAGCTGATTTATAATATCACTATTATATTGTTTTTTCATAAGACTTAATCATTTCCTCCTCTTCTGCTGCGAATAAAGTGTGAAACAAAAATTTCACTTTGAAAGCAGTATTTAAAACTAAAACAGAACATTATTACTCAATGTTTTCTGTTCACAACCTAATGTCACTATTCATGTCCCAGAGGGGAAGTTCAAAAGGGTAACTGGGGAAAAGCTACCAGTGGCTCATTTTCATTCTCAAATCTTTGGAGAAAGGTTGTTGATCACCTTTAATTTCTCGGTGACACTAACTGAATTGGCGGACATAGCACACAGATCGGAAGCACACCAGTCAGCAACTTCCAGTGTTCATCTTTATCAAAGTGCTGCACTGAAAGTATATATTTACACCACCAATCTCCCTCATGTGTGACTTATAACCACCTCCGTACCTTATCGTTTCTTTATCCCTGGGTAATCAACACGGTCTCCATTTTCACTAGGCCCTCTGATTGGTTTTTGACTGGAACTACATTTTCTAAATTATCAAGAATTCATTCCAGTCACAATCAGAACTCCTGGTGACACTAAATAATTTACCAGAACCTTCAAATGCCACATGTTCATCGAGTCCGTTCTTTCCATAAGCACAAGGTGCTTCCTACTTTCTCACCATCTCCGTTCTAGGTATAGGAATCTACTCTGTGCAAGGTAACTTTTGTTCCATAAAAATTAAGTCCTGGGCACCTACAGGAGGAGCGTCTCACGTAGCACACTGGACGAGTCTGGCTTTCTGTGGCTGGGTTCTCGCGGCCTATGTGGTATTCACTCCTGACTGCTCTGACAGGAGGGAGCTGCAGACAGTGAGGGAACTGAGTTCCTGCTCATGAGCCTCACACAGCCTTCTGCTCTAACATTAGCTGTTTCTGAAACATGAAATCACCAACTTTACTCACAAAACACCTGAAAATCTGACTTCTGTTTAAAACTACACTGGTTTCTAATACACCAGGTCACCCTTCCAATATTTCTTCCAGTGGGTGACCAAGTTCATCTTCAACACTATTTCAGACATTATGCTGGGACCCCTGGCCTTCATTTTCCCAGTGCTAGTGCAGAAAGGATCTAACACCTAGAAACAACATAAAGGAATCTGTTGCCTCCACGTACTATCAAATGTAGAAACAAAGTTTTTAACTGAATGAGAGGGAGAGAGAAAAGACAAAAATTTGAACATTAATTTGACAGTCAAAATGCCAATTAAAAAGAGTAGAAAAAGAGGGTAAGAGATTATGAATTTGGTATTAAGTGATGGTATTTAATAAATGTTCTACAATAATAACACAATTGTGCAGGTGAAAATAAGTTACAAAGCCAGCAGGTTAACTATCAGAAATAAAAATTTAAAACTAAATGTTCAACGTTTGGCCATTGGTGATGGTTTTTTAAATCAACTAAGATGCAAAATGTACAGAATATGGAATAAAGAATGATAAATATGTATTAACAATACTTTTTTAACAGAAAAGAAATTACAGAATACAAATACAAAAATAGTGTAAACTGTACCACAAGATGTCTATGTCTTTCTGCTAAAACCACTATCATTGGTTACGGGACTTTAATAGCAACTTAACTCCTTTGAAAAAACAAAGGAAATTTCATTACAGGGTGTGGAATGGGGGACTCCTGGGAAATCGGTGAAAACCAGGACACTGCAAGAAAGGCCCTGGAAGGGACCTCTGGGCATGGGTCCCCTGGGGTTTAGCAAATACCAAATATAGGCAAGGATCTAGGGTGAGAAGAAAAAGGCAAATGTATTGTCTTAACATCCTGGGTGCCAAGGGACTAGGATTTAGTCCCTGTATCCTGACCTCCAGATCTCTCGTGGGAGAATGACACACTTTTCCCTCTCTAATCGTTTCTCCTCCCAACACCTGCCCCTCCACACAACACACACCCTTCTTAGCACATTATTCAGTGAGACTCCTGAAGGTACAACTTCTGAGTTACAAGATTAGGATCCAAGAAATCCCCACGACATTTCAAAGACACTTCGGCCCTGAGTTCACACAGGCTTCCGGGACTTGTGAGCCAACCTAGCCCTGCGGGAGACAACCCCCATCTCCTTCAAAGCAAATGCCTTTAAGAGGCGGGGACAGCCGACAGAAGAGGCCGGGAGGTCCCAGACTTGGGGACTAAGGTTACGACAGAAACCACCAGCTTGCCTGAAATCCTTCCAGATTTTTTTCGGGGCGAGGGGGTGGGGTGCGAAATGGGGAGATTCTAATGCTGGAGCTTCAGGAAGTGGAGTCAGCAGTTGCTGCTGAGGTGGTCAGACCAAGGTTAAGAAGCCCAAGCGCTTGAGGTTCCAGGCGAGGCCTGCGGCGTCTCTATCTTACCCACCAGAGCCCCTGTGGCCCGAGTGCGCGCGCTCACATACCTACCCCCCAGATGAACCATTCCCCACTCTCAACCTAACCCTTGAGGAGAGCGCCCATCTCTTCGCGACCACCCCCTCGATCATTCCCTCCTCCCCGCCGGGGTCCCGGGCCCCGCCTTCGCCTTACACTGAATGGGCGGGTAGCAACTGGGGTCCTCGCCGCCCGGCTGGCAGCGGCTGGAGAAGGCGCTGCGCGGGGTCACATAGTTGCTGGGGAAGATGCCCACCCGCTGGTTCAGCTGCCCAGTCCACCAGCCTTCGTCGCCGGACACCTGCGAGTCCTTGGACAGCACCTCCACCACGTCGCCCAACCGCAGGGTCAGTTCGTCCTCGCCCGCCGCCTCGTACTCGAACACGGCGGTCCAGTAGGGCAGCGGCGCGTCGGAGCCCAGCTCCCGGGGGGCCGCCGCCGCTTCCTCCTCCTCTTCCTCCTCCTCCTCGGCCCCGGCCCCCGATCCATCCTCCCCCGGCGGGGCGGCAGTGGCGGCGCTCGCCAGGCAGCCGAGAAGCGCTCTGGAGGGCTCCATGGAGCGGCCGATCCATAGGGTGCGGGGCTGCCGCCGCCCGCAGGAGCCGCCGCCGCCTATTGTTCATGCGGCTCCGCAGAGCTGGGGAGACCCCCTCCCCCGACGGCGGCCGCAGGTAGGGCCCGGGATAGCTGGGCGGAGAGAGCGGGCTGCCTGGGGCTAGCGCGGCAAGTGCAGTGAGCGCGTGTGCTCACCGCAGCATCGGGGCGCGGAGAGTCGGAGCCCCCGCCTACGCGCTCACCCGCTGGGGGCCACCTGCCCACCTCCGCGTTGACTACCTGCTCTCGCAGCTGGTGCCCGCCGCCCGCCAGCGGCCGCTCCCCTCTCCGCGCCGCGCCCCGCCCCCAGAGCCGGCCACCCGCCCAGGACCACCTGACGCGAGCCTGGCTCCGCCTCTGCCCTGCGGAACCGAAGGGCGGAGCTTCCCGGCACCCGGACCCGCCCCTGCTGCAGCCCGCCTTCCCATTGGCCACCGCCGACCCCACCGCGGTAGCGGGAGCTAGCAAGCTAGCCACCCAGCCCGCCCCTCTCCAGCCCGTTCGCCTACAGCGACCGCCCCCTTGCTCCCGCCCTCTTTTGCGGGCTCCCTCCTTCTCAAATCCCAGTCACACAGTTCTCTCTCCCATTGGCCAGCCGCAGCTCCAACCATTGGCCCAAGGTACCTGTCCATTTCCTGGGAGAGTTCAACACCTCTCCGCTGGAAGAGGCTGCATCTTCATTGGGTGCATGAGGAGGGATGGGTGGATCCTAAAAGGTAAAGCCAAGACTTCATTCATTCCAAAAAGGCTGAAGGAGCCTCTTCCCTTTGTTTGCGGTGGACGGGTACAGCTGTTAGGCGGCACCAGTATTTCTCATCCTACAGTGAGTTTTTGAAGGTGAGCAAAAGAGAAGGGAGCTGAGCTGCACCCCACGGAAGAGCTCGTTCTTCTCCGTCTCCCTCTCTTACAGCTGGATTCTTGCCTCTTGGATTTGCCTTTGCCCTAGTCCGGCCAGGTGAATCAGCTTCAGCTCCCACCGGACTGAGTTACACCCCTCCACCCCATCTCCATAACCTTTCATTTCCTAGTTTAAGGCCCATTGGAATGTTCTTTAGACACTCTCAAAACTACAGTTCTCGCCTTTCTGAAGAGGGCACACAGCCCTCCCTTTCCTGGGTGCCTATAAGAAGAGATTCCTCCAATACAGTGATTTTTAGAATTCAGAAAGACGAGACACCACCTTACAGGGACTTCAAACTGAGGCCGGAAAAACTATGGCGAAATCGGCTCTGAAGAGACAACTATTTTGCAATCGTGGGTTTCTTTCACCTGGGTGAACTGCACCTCGGGTCATGGTGACCTATATAGAAATCAGGTTAAGGACCAAAGTAGACAAAAAAGAAGGAGGAGGAGAAGAAGAACCAAAGTAGAACATACATACAAGACGAGACTGCTGTTCAAGACAAATGCTGCAGTTCATGACCAAGGGCTGACCATTTTCTCCATCCTTTTGTGATCCTCCGTTTCTCAAACATTGAGAAAAAATGAGATAGGTGGGCCCTACTATTTCTTCTGTGCTTTAGTCCTATCATAACAATGAAGATTTCCAATTAGAAGGTTTTTCTGGCGTTTCAAAACAACTCAGTGCTGCAAGACCTAGCGCAATCTCTACCCTACTGCCTTGCCCTTTCCCCTTTAGTGGTAAGAATAGATACAATTTATTTAGCAAGATTTAGTGCTTCACTGAGTGTTTTTTGTTTAATGTTATAAATAGTTTAGGTTAATTCTTGGACAAACTGTGGAGACAGTGGGGTGACTTGAAAAGATAGCAGGGCTGGCATCTTTGGCTCCCCTGCCAGCAGCTGCATGATCTTGGGAAAGTACTAAGGTTACATTGCAGTGTGCTCATCCACAAAGTGAGTGGGTGGACTGGAGGGTCTGCTGTGTTCTTGGAGGCCCGACATTCTGCAGTTGCACAGGAGTATGTCCGCACTGCATGCCCACATATTTGAGGTCTTGAAGAAGAGAGGTCTGAGTGCTCTTCTGAAAAGTGTCCCGAGTAAGTATTGAGAAAGTAGGTGCCCTAAAACAGTGTTTAGATTCTTCTTGCTCATAGGTGCAGTGAACTGGGAAAGATATGGATGAGTCTTTGAGTCAATTCTCTAGGTCTTATTTAAGACAAACTCTCCCACCCCCAAGCAGAACAGAAGAGGTTAATGGAGATAGAGGTATTTTGTGTTTTAAAAAAGACCATAAAGAAAAAGTATTTCTTGATAAAAATTTATTTTGGAGGTAAAGGGAATTTTACAAAATGGTATAGACATACACAGAGAAAAACAGAAAAAGAACCACTAGAAAGATGCAGAAAAAAATTTTCAGTGGTAGGTTTCTTTCCAGTAGTAGGAATAAGAGTAAATGGGCAATTTTTATTGTTATTTTGTTTATTTGTAAATACGTGTTACTATATAGTTTTGTGGCTCTTCATTTCTCCCTCACCCAGAAGAGAATGGAAAAAATTTCTTGATCCCTCTCAGTAGGGAAAGTCTAAGTCCCCTTATAATTTAAATCTTTAATACCTTAGCATGTGTTTAGGACATCATGAGGAGTCATTCATCAGACATTTCAAGAAGTCTTTCGGTAAATACTTGTACAATGGATAAGTGATAGGAATTCAAATGAGGAAAGATTCTTCAGACTATCTTTGTCTAGCAGGATTTCATGGAAGAGGCAGAACCAAAACTGGTCCTAGAGGGGTACAGGATGGAGCCAGGAAAGGAGGGAGGATGTGGGCACAGTCTCAGGTGAGAAAGCCCATCTGGATGGAATAAAAGAATGAAAAGGAACTCTGAAAAGATAGGTTGAAACCAGATTGCAGAGGGCCTTGTAACCACTTGATTCACACTAATAATTATTTACTGTATTTTGCTGTGTGTAATGAACACTATTCTGCCCAAAGTTTTGAAGGAATAATACCTGAAATACCTTGTATCTGTATCAGGTATTATATATAATACCTGAAATACCTTGTATCTGTTATTGTGTTTGTAATTATTTGTTACATAAAATGTCTTGTACCATAATATGTTCAAAAATAAATGCTAAAATACCTTTATAATACAATAAATAATTGTCTAAATATAAATAAATAATTAAATTGAAAAGTTAAAATGAAAGATTTTTTTTGGTGAAAGTTTGGGCCAAAAATGTGGATGCACATTATACATGGCAAAATATGGGTAATTGGTTGTTTATAATTATTTAATGCCCAGTTTGTTTACCGTAAGGGCAGGGACCCATCTGTCTGGCTGTCTATAGTTCTCCCAGTACCTAGAGAGTGCTTACCATGTAAATGACTCTCTCAGTATCTATTTGTGAATGAATGACTGCCTTGAGTGCCCAGTTAAGAAGCCTAGGTTTTGTTTAGCAGATAAAGGTTATTACTGAGCAGGGCTGAGCAGGGCTGTGGGGTGATCAAATGTTAGTGTCACCGCGCCTAGAATAGATGAGAAATGCATAAGAAGGTGCTTCAGTTGGGCACTGAAGAAGGTATACAGCTTGATTAGTGGAGAACAGAAAGTGTGAAGCTGAAAATTAATGTAATATATAACAATAATAGAAATACCAGCCTGAGAAGAGGAGAGAATACAGAAACGTAGTGATGGGAAATAAATTGACTAAATAAAAGAAAGGTAGATTGCAAAGACTTGAAAACCAGGTAGAATTACCAAGATTTTGCCACAGTTGAGGTCTTCAGCAGGACCCTAACTGGTGTGGCTCCGTGGGTTGGGCATCCTCCTGCGAAGTGAAAGGTCGCCAGTTTGATTATTGGCCAGGGTATGTGCCTGGGTTGTGTGCCAGGCCTCCAACGGGGGGCATGCCAGAGGCAACTGATCAGTGTTTCTCTCCCTCTCTCTGAAAAAAAAAATTAAAAAATAATAAAAAGTTCTTGAGCAGGGGTTGACAAATGTCACCCCCCAAAAGGACCATTTTTCTCTACTTCATTCAAAAGCATAGCATAAGACATATTATAACACTTATCCATTCAACGAATGTTCACTGAATGGCTTTTTGAAATGTTTGATGAATGACTGCTCATGAGGTCCTAAATACATGCTATAATATTAAAGATTTAAACATATGGGAGTTAGACTTTTCCTATGGAAAGGGGTAAAGAATTTTATATGGTAGTAGAACAGCTTGACACCACTAGACCTACATCAGAAGATCGTGATTTATCATGGTTGTTTTCATTAAAAACCGTGTGACTTTGGGCAAGGAATCTGTCTGAACCTCAGTTTCCTCACTTTTAAATAGGTGTGAAATAGAAACTGCTTCTTCTAGAAGTTTATAGGATTAAATGAAACAAAAGCTCTTAGCATGCTGCTTAGCATCTACTAACAACTTGACATATTTACTTCTTTCCTCTGCCCATATCTTTCAGAAACATCTTTAATTGCACCCTAAAAAACTGCCAAAGCTTCTTGACTAGAAATTGAACTAGGGGTTTTCTCTTTAGAAAGGGAGGGTAGTGGGAAAGGAAAAAAAAAGAAAGAAAGAAAGAAGGAAGGAAGAAAGGGAGGGAAGACCAAACAATTTTTAAAAAGGGAGGGAGGGAGGATGATGGGATTAATAGTTTTTTTTGTTCTTTGACCCAGAATATTCAATATTTTCTATCATTAAAATGTACTGATTTTCTAATCAGAAAGTATATTATTGTTAATGATGATCATGAAAATGTTTAATGAGCCCTGACCACTGTGGCTTGGATGGGCACCATCCCACAAAGCAAAAGGTCATTGGTTCTATTCCCCGTCAGGACACATGCCTGGGTTGCAGGTTCAGTCCCCAGTTGCAGGGGTGTAGGAGAGGCAACCCAGTCGATGTTTCTCTCCCTCTTTTTCTCCCTCTCTTTCTCTCTAAAAGTAAATAAAATCTAAAAAAAAAGTTAATGATATGGAAATGTGCATAATATAATCATTAATGAAAAAGTAAAAACCCCTTTATACACTATGACCACAAATGTGTATGATTATGTGTTTGTGTAGTATCAGAATCTTTTTCTTTTATTAGTTATTTCTGAGCTGAGTGGCAGAATGTGGATAATTTGGATTGCCTTCATCTTCATTTTCCTTTTGAACATTTTCCCTTTGAACATTTTCCCATACAGCTAAAATAACCATGTGATACTTTTATAATTAGGATAAACATCCACAAATCATTTTTATGTTTTGTAATAGTGAAATAAATTTCAAGCAGAAAGCCTTATTGTTTGTTGAGGAGATGGTAGAGGAAGGGATAAAACTAGAACCAGAGGATGACAATAATAATGATAATGATAATGATAACGGCTACTAT